GTTTTTTTTTTTTTTTTTTTTGTGTGTGTGTGTGTGTTATTATGTGTGCGTTTGTACTGACTATACCCAAACTCTTTCAGACAATATTTGTGCATTTATTTTAAGATATAGTCTCTTTCTGGTTACTGGGAAGGGACTTTGACCTATTTACTGACTAAATCAACCCGTTCTGATAAGTTGATATTTTTTAAAATTTTATTTTGTTTGTTGACATAATAACTACTTATTTATGGGGCATAAGGTGCTCTTTAGCTATAACTATACATTGTGTGATGACTGAAGCAGGATAACTAGCATTTCCATCACCTCAAACTTATATTCTTTCAGTAGAAGATTCAAAATCCTCTCTTCTAGCTATTCTGAAATATAAGATACATGTACTCTACTGTGCTATACAACCTCAGAATTTAGTCCTCCTAACCACAACTTTGAACCTGCTGAACTTTCTTTCCAAATTCTCTGCAACGGGTCTTTCCCAGTCTCTGGTAACCACTGTTGTATTTTCTACTTCTATTCGAACAACTTTTTCAGACTCTACAAATGAATGAGGTCATGTGGTGTTTGTCCTTCTGTGCCGGGCTCAGAGAAGGAGGAATAGGAACCCATACATGTATAAAGCAAGGGTGTTTTCTCAGGAGTTGAAAGTGGTAACACAGCTGAGGAGTACAGGGAGAGTGGCTGTTGGCTGCAGTGGAGATGAGGGTGCAGCGTTTCAAAGGAGGGGAGGTATAGGAGCCGAGCCAGAACCTGGAGTGAAGGCAGCTCGTGGGATCCTGTTGTCAAGGCTTCATATACTCTACTAGAGATGCACCAGAGAGACATGAAGAGTTTTGTCTAAGGGTTCTGGAGAGATGGATGTGATGTTGGTAAGATCAAAATGGATATGAGCATACATTTCATTTAAAAGAGGTGATAGAGTCATCGTCATCATGAATCATTTCCATGCTGGGGCATCAGCAGTGTCCCACCAGCCCACCTCCAGCCCCAGGCTCCAGGTGTACCTAATGCTCGGAAGGCTCCAGGCATACTTCCATGGCATACTCCACTCGGAAGTCAAGTTCATATCCCTTTCTGATACTGGCCTGTCCCTTCCTCCTTCTCCTCTGCGTTTTGCCTGTTTTTCCTGGCTGCCTCTCTACCTGTTTTGCTTCTCACCAAACCATAGACCAGGCACTCATTTTAATCCTCTCCATCAACCATGTCCTCTGCCACAGCTCTCATCCATGTCTCTCCTTTCAAGCACCTCTCCACCCCCACACCCCTGTGTACACCCAGCATTGGAAACATGGGCAGAAACAGAGTTGGCCCTGGGTTCTGTTAAAGGACATTTGAGGCCTGCAGGGACTTGGAGTGAAAACCACACCTTCCTTGGCAGGTCTGCTTCCTTCCCTACAGAAGAGCCAGGGGCACAATTAGGGGAGGATATGATATTTTAATGACTTGTAAGGGCACGGCAATCGATGACCTGTAATAGTGTGTTAAACTGCCAGGGAAGAGCAGGGCAGACTCTCACCCATGTCAAGGATCCGTAGTATGTGTGTTGGAAGCCAGCTGAGGTGGAACCCTTGGGATATTTCCACAGGATTGGTGAGAGTTGAAAGTGTGGCTCTTGACCTGAGCTGCAGGTACTGCTGGAAACAAGATTGTGTAGAATTTTTACCATGTGCTCAGGTCCTCAGGCCACCACTTCCCAACGCAGGAGGGTTATTGTTTGGGTGAAAAAGGAAAAGAGTTTATTCAAAGCATATGCATTTCTTTCAGACAATCCTCTTTTTTTAATAGTTATTGAATTTATTGGTACATTTTAGGCATATATTATGATCACATTCATCGAGATTTTGTACCTGTACATGATATATCTTGATTCTTTTTTTTCCCATTCCCCTGGCCTCCCTTCAACCCCTCCACCTCTCCCTATTTACATAAGCTTTATTTCCATTTTTCCTTCTTTTCTTTCTCTTCTTTCCTTTCCCCTGCCCCCCTCCCTTGTTCCCCTTTCTCTTTGAACATTTTCTTCCTATTTCACAATATCTATTATAATTCTGGTCCTCATTTACACTTTCAGTTTTCACACCAGAGAAACAATTTGGTATTTACACAAGTGTGTCTTATTTATTTTACTTAAGAGTATGGCCTCAAAGTGCATCCATTTGCCTATAAATATCTCTAGTTTATCTTTCTTTGTGGACAAGTAGTACTCCATTTTATTTTAAAAAAGCCCAAACACATCTACTTTATCTAATCATGAATTGATGGGCATTTGGTCTGTTTCCAAGATTTAGTTATAAGGAATTGTGCCACTATAAGTAGGGGTGTGCATATATCACTGAGGTATGATGCTATTAGTTCTTTGGAAAGATAACAAGAAGGGAAAAGCTGGGTCAAGTGAGACCTTTAATCCTAGTTTATTTGAGGAATCACCACACTGATTTCCACAGTGCTTGTACCAGTCTGCACTCATACCAACAATGAAGAAAGGTTCCTTTTTCCCCACAGCCCCACCAGCATTTGCTACTGGTTGATTTCTTGATGGCAGCCATTCTTTCTGGACTGAGGTGAAATCTCAGCAGTTTTCATTTGCATCTCTCAAATGACCAGTGATATTGAACATTGTTTTTTATGTTTATTGTTGATTCTACTTTTTTGTCTGAGAAATGTCTATTTCAGTTGCCAATTTCTGGATTGGGTCTTTGAATTTGGGGGGTCTGATTTTTTAAAGTTCTCAATAAATTGTAGATAGTAGTCCTTTGTCTGAGGAACAGCTGGTAAAAGTTTTTCCCCACATTGTGGGTTCTCTCTTCACTCTGTTGGTGGTTTCTCTTGCTGTGCAGAAGCTTTTTAATGAAATGAGAACTCAGTTGTTGATACTTTGTGCTGGTTCTCATGAAACTCTTTTCCTATGCCAATGTCTTAAAGAGTTCTACCTAACCTCTCTTCCAGCAGGTTTGTGTTTCTGTTTTAATATTTAGATCTTTGATTCATTTCAATTTTAGTTTAGTGCACAGTGAGAGATATAGGTCTAGTTTTAATCTTTGGCAAGTTGAAACCCAGTTTTTCCAGCACAATTTATTAGAGAGGCTATCTTTATTTCAGAGAGGGTGTTAGGCTCCTTTGTCAAAGATGAGGTGGCTGAGTGTGTCTGGAGTTGATTTTGCATCTTCTAATCTGTTCCACTAGTCCTCAGGTCTGTTTCTTTTCCAGTACCATGCTGCTTTTATCACAGTAGATTTGTAGCATAATTTAAAGTTGGGGATTGTGATACTCCCTGTCTTTTCTTTGTTGCCTGGAATTGCTTTTGCTGGTCTAGATCTCTTCTGGTTCCCAAATAAATTTTGGATTGTTTTCTCAAGGTCTGTGACATATGCTGTTGGTATTTCAATTGGGATTGCATTGAATCTACAAAAAGTTTTGGAAGTAAGGCCATTTTCATTATATTGGTTCTTCCCACCAATGAACAAAGGATAGCTTTCCATTTTCTGATATCGTCTTTGATCTCTTGTATAAGCTATACTTTTCAAAGTAGGGGTTTTTACTTTCTTCATTGGATTGATTCCTAGATATTTCATTTTTTGGATGCTATTGTAAAAGTAATTGTTTCTCCAGTTTCTCTTTGAATGAGTCAATTATTTGTGTATAAGAAAACTATTGAGTGTTGATCTTGTATCCAGCTACTCTACTGAATTTGGTAATTAAGTTTAGAAGTCTTTTGGTGGAGTTTTGGGGGTCTTCTATATAAAGTATCATGTCATCTGCAAATAATGACAGTTTATCTTCTTCCTTTCCTGTCTTTATTCCTTTTATTTCTTTCTCTTGTCTAATTGCTGTGGTTAATGCTTCCAGAACTCTATTGAACAGGAGTGGTGATAGTGGATATCCTTGTCTTTTTTCTGTTTTTAACATGAAGGATTTCAGTTTTTGACCATTTAGTATGAAGTTGGCTGTTGGTTTTTCATACATGGCTTTTACCAGGTTGAGATAAAGACCATCTATTCAAATTTATTGTAGGATTTTTACAATGAATGGGTGTTGGATTTTGTCAGACAATGCTCTTGAAGCTTTGCTTTTTGTCCATTTTCCTGAGCTGAGGAGAGGAGGGAGTGGCAGTAATACTCTTAGCATGAAGAAGTTGGAGAGGCAGCCAATTCCTAAAAGAAAAAAATAATTCTATCTTTCGGAAATCCATTTTATCCTCTCAGTTACAGAATCAGCTGGAAGAGGGCTGGGGACATGAACCAGGTGATGAGGGGAGAGTGGACCGCCGAAAATTGAGTAGATTTCAGTTTTGCTGTTGAAGGGGTTGTTGCCTAGAACTGTAGTTTCTCATGAAGAACTTTATTGCTAAAGAGATGGTAACTGCAAACACGTGTGGTAAGGAGGTCATGTAAGTAGTGATGAGTGCAGACATACAGGTAAAAAGGTATTGCAGGTAGCTCAGGTATGCCATGCAGGTAGCTGAAACAGGGCAAAGAATTGCTTATCCTGCTCTGGGTACCATGTCAAATGCTTTATATTTGTTTCTTCACAATAAACTCAATACAATAAGATAAAAAACATTAAAACCCTTCTATTTGAAACATAAGGGAAGTAAGTAACAGATTAAATACCTTATTCAAGTGGGGAGTTCCTTGCAACATCCAATGGATCAATGTCTGCTCAGATTGACTGGTGGGGAGGGGAAGACTGCTGACCCCAAGGAGCTGGAACACTGTGAAGATGGGATGTTTCGCCAACTGAAGCGGAGATGGGCCTTTTGAGAAAAACATGGGGATAATCAGATAAAAATTAATAAGTCACCCAAATGGTCATGATGCCTTTCCAACCTATAAGAAACCTCTGTACTCAGCAGAAGGCTACATGGCTTTGTTGTTCCTCAATAAATCTGTGAGTTTGAGTCAGTTTGGGGCTTCATTTCAGTGAAGTCCCGTGATCCTCCTCAAAGATATTCTCTCTCTTGAGTGTTTTTGTTTATCTATCTATAGGGGATTTGCTGGCCTGAACTTGGCATTCAAGGTCTCTTTTTTAGTAAAGAGCTGAGTTTAGACTCCATATCTAACTGAGTTATTTAAAACCCAACAGGACTGGGAATTGATTGGCTGCTTTGAGGAAGGAAATATCAAGGTTTTTGAGCTCCACTTACTAGCAACACCTCATCTGAATATTAGAATTGGGAGAAGAAGAAGGTGGGGTTGGTGTTAATGAAACCTGAAGTGAGAATCATACGGAAATGCAAATTCAGAGGAGAAGCAACCAGGACTGTCCTAGCCAAATTTAATACTGTAGTAGAAAAGATTCACATGTGGCCAAAAAGATGGTTCAGAGCTGAGAAATGCATTCTTTTTGGCCTTTAAACAGCAGAAAGGAAGCAAAGAAGCTAGAGAAAGTAGAAGATAGGCTAGTAAATTTAAAATCCACCCTTTCTGAGAATCCCTTTGCGGGGGAGTAATTGCTCTTCCCAGCCCATCGTGAAGTGTACAGCTGCTTATTCAGAGAAGGCAGGTAATTGGCCAAGCCTCTCTCTTCATCCCTGAAGTGTTGGAAGATGTGTGCATTTTGTGCAGTGGGTCTCTCTAACCCTCAGACTCCAGGCTGACATTGAAGTGCATAGTCCCAGAGAACAGCCTGCGGTACAGAGTCAGCATCACTCTTCTTGGAGGTATCTACAGGGACACTGCTGCCTGCTTTCCTGGAGGAGCAAGATGGTCCTTTTTGTCTCCCCAGCTGCTGCACCTGGACCCACCTCTCCTCCAGCAGCATCATTTGTGTTGCAGGACTGAGTGACCACAGTAGTGGGGAGGCCCTAAGTTCACTACTGCTCAGCTATCAGCTCATGTTTATTTTTTCTTCTTAATTCAAGCCTTCCCAAACCTGGAGAAGTTAAAAGTTCTGATCTGGTATTTTTCAGCTTTTATCACAAGTATGGGAGGAAAAGATTCCAGCATATGACTATGTGTGTTAGATACATGTAAATTACTTTGACAAGTCTAAATCACAGGTAATTTCAGAGTGAGGAGCTTTCCTGGGGAGGCTGGCAGTTTCGTGTTCAAGAGGGATCTGTTCTGGAGTTGGCTGTACAGAGCTGGTGCTGCAGAGCAGGATTTGATCATTTTCCCTTTGACTTCAGTAGGATGAATGGCATAAAATAAATCCAAATGTTTATATAGTTGAATAATTTCTGGCTCTTTTACTCAGAATTCTCAAGGCAATTATATATACCCAATCCAGGAATTAGGTGCGTGACTAAGTGTCTCCAAAAATGCTATTATGTGAGATTGCATTCAATGTTATACCATTTCCTGGATTAGCTAGACATTAAGAATTTATGATGAAGGGCCAGGGATTTAGGTCAGTGGTGCCACTGCCTGCCTCATGAGCACAAGGACCTGAGTTCAATCTTTGGAAAAAAAAAAAAAAAAAAAAAGAAATTATGATGAAAGGGACCTGTCTCAGGCTCTGTGAAAGTAGCTCTGGTGCATTCAATGTTTATGACCTTGCTGCAACCTTGATTAAGAAAATAGAGGAATTGTCACTTACCCTTGGAGAAGCTCTATGGGCTGTCCTTTTCTCTTTTCTTCTGTCTCTTTCTTCCTCTCCAAACATTCCTAACGTCTGTATGACTTTTGAATTTTAATCACAGTGGCTTTTTTAGAGCTCTCACTGTCACTTCCAGAGAGAGGTCCAGGAATAACAGCCATTGCAGTAACCTTCACCAAACCAACCGAAACTCCAGTCAGACAGACAAAGCAATACAACTGTGTCTGAAAGCATATTACATGTTTTTGTTGATTTATAATTGCACATATAATTGGACACAAAATTCATATGTACTTACTGTGGAAAAAAAAGCCCAACAAAAGATATTATTTAGCGATATTGACTGATAATTAGGTCAGAATGCCTTGTTCACTGGTGCTTCACTTCTGAACTCAGCTGCCACATTAAGATGATGCATCAGGGAGCAGTGCCCTACGATGGTAAATGAGTCTTTCTCCATGTTTTGTGTTAAACCCTAACACAGGTGCTCTAGTTTGGATCTGCAGTGTCTCCCAAAGGCCCGTGTAATAAAGGCTTTTGTTCTCACCTTGGTGTTCCTGGGAGGTGGTGGAAACTGTGCGAGATGGGGCCTGGAGGGTGGTTTGAGGTCACTGGGCCTGTGTCTTTGAAAGGGACCGTGGGACTCCTTTCTCCCTCTTTCACTTTCTTTTTGTATCCTGGCCATGAGGTGACTGATTTTGCCCTGCCATGCACTCTGTCATTTCCTGTCTTGCCACTGACCCAAAAGCAATAGGCCAACTGAGCTTGGGCTAAAACCTTCAAAACTGTGAACTAAAATAAATCTTTCCTTTTTGAAAGCAGATTAACTCAGGTATCTGGTAATGGAAAAGGGACTGACACAAAATGTTCAGTATATATTTCAAGTTTGTCAAGTCAACTGCTGAGAAAATGTAGCATGTAATTGCATAGAGCTGCACCGCTGCCTTAAATAGGAGTGGGATGACTCATACATTGCTATGGAAAGCTCTGGTAGAGCCTTGTCTTCTAATTCTCTCATTGATAATGAGGGATTTCAGTGTTCCCAGCAGCTCAAAAATCTCAGCAACCACTTTAGTTTGCCATTTTCTGCTTCTCTTCCTGTCTTTTATTTTGTCTCAGTAAACCTCCACCTCATTTAACCTCCCAGACAACAGAGTTTAATAATTTTACTAAAATATAAGAAAGAGCAAACAATTCTTAGGAACCCCATAATTTAAGGGACTAGGTTTGATCCATAAAAATGAACAATCATAACATTGGCGGTGGCATCTGTAATAAATAAAGATGTGTTCCTGCTGGGGATTTAGCTCAGTGGTTCTGCCGTCTGCCTCGCAAGGTACCAAGTTTGATCCCTGGTACCAAAAAAAAAACAAAAAAAAAGATCTGTTCCAAAGGTCTAAAGCCTCTGCTCAACTCTCTTGAAGCTGGTTGCCTGATGGAATATATTTAAGGTGTGTATTCCCTGTTAGATTTCCCTCACCTTAAAATGACTTATCCTCTTCCCACAATGCCCTGCTTCTCACCTAAAAAGATGGCTTCTCCCATCTACCAAGGGGCAGCCTCTTCTGCCATCAAAAAGTAACCAGATACTTGCTACCTCTGAGTAACCAGTGATGTCACAAGTCCCTCCTAGTGATGTCACAGGCTCCTCCAAACCCTTAATACTACTGCACTTAACTCCACCCCAGCTCCTATAAGTCCCACCTCAGTCCTATAAAAGAAGCTCTTTGTTCTGCCATATTGCTCTCTCTTCTTTGATCAGAGACAGCCTGGCAGGTTGTCCTTACAGTAAAGGCTTGGAGTGGTTCTAGTCTGGTCTTGGTTTTTGGCTTTTTTACCTGATATTCCCCAGGCAGTAAATTTCCAGGAGAACTAAGGATGTGGAAAATCATGGATTGAGGAAAACAAAAGGATTTTTTTTTAAACAAATGTCTCCTCTCCAGCTGGCATTTTTCTTTAGAGATTCATACTGCAGCAGCAAAGTGTCAGCCAGGACATACAGACAGGTAGTTCAGGAGAGTGACAGATGCACCCAGAAGTTTTGGAAGCAAAATGTACAGTTTTATTAATTAATTTATTTTTATTTGTTTTGGTACCTTGCACTTGCAAGGCAGGTGGTGGAACCACTGAGCTAAGTCCCTGGCCCTTCAATTTTATTTTTAACGCCAGCAGGTCAATCTGGGACTTCTCCACAAAGAGACTGACCCTACTTTGGGGCTGAGCAGGGCAGGTTATACTTTTGAGATGGGGAGGGCTTGCAGGAGTTAAGCACTTTGTATTGGTTATGTAGAACACAAGTCATCTGGGCTGAGCAAATTCACCTGTTATCAGATATTATAGACAGCAGGGTGAGTGCACAGAGCCACATCTCATTTATATTTGGCAGCAAGACAGAAGTGATGAAACTGAGAACAAAAAAATTCCTGAGATGCTTGAGAGGAAGTGTCTGGAGGGCTGGACACATTGAGGGAGTGGGGGAAAACTTTTCCACTAGTCTTGCTTGAACTGCAGAGAAACATGTTTCCTGTTTAATACCTGTGCCATTGAGCTCACCTATCCCGAAGCTACAATGCGGCTGACAGCTACCATGAAGGTTGAGAAAATGCCCTTTATTCATGCTTTCTTGTCATGGCAAATTCCACCCAGGGCCAGGGTAAATCTGTTCTCACATGCAGGGCAGAGACCTGGTTGTACATGGAAAGTAGGGTTGAGTTCTCAGAAGTGTCATATCTTGTAGAGCTAAATTAGCCTGTAGGCTCTGGTCCTGCCCTAACAAGTTTAAAAGCAAACTGTGAAAGGATCATTGTTCTAAGTAACCTGTGTGTCAAGTCACTTTAAAGGAATACAATTAAATTCAATTCAGAATATAAAAGTCACTGCCTAGCATTCAATTAAAAACAAACAAACCATGCAAAGAACAAAAAAGATCCACAAATAGGAGAAAAATCATCAGAAAGAAATAAACTCAGAAATGGCAAAATAAGAGTATTAATATAGAGGAAAACATGAATATGATGAGGAAATGAATCCAAGATATTAAGACATAAATTCAACTTCTGAAGTGGTATTATTAGAAATGAAATACACACTTTGTTGGATTAACAGCAGGTTAAGTACTGCAGAAGAAAAGACTAGTAAGCCTGAAAACAGCAGTGTATTAAAAATGAGGTAGAGGGGGAAAAAAAAAAGACTAGAAAACTTAGTCTTGATAAATGGTATCATTTGTCAATATCAAGCAGGCTCTATATATGTGTAACAAAGTATGAAAAGGAAAAGAATGGAGGGACCAAAAATATGAAGAAATAATGTTTATAGATTCTTTTACATTTAATAAGAATCACAAAACCATAGATCCAAGAAACGTAATGCACTCCAAAGAGAAAAAAAATGGCACAAACAAAACTTACCTACCAGTATAGAAGAAGTTAAAATCAAAGAACAAAGCAGATAAAGCCTCTCCCCTCCACCCACTATTGTATTAAGTTGAGAGGACATAAGAAACCAGGCTTCATTCACATCTAACTGAGGAGCTTCTGACCCTGTGAAGATGTGCATCCCTCTCCCAGCACATAGTGATACACCATCAGGCCGAACTGGCTGCATAGTGTAGTTTGTGTGCTGAGAGATAGTTTTCCTTACAGCAGAACATTAGCCATCTTGCCGCTACTTTCCTTCCTTTCCCAGGAATTTCTTTGTTCTTGTCCTTTCTTTCTACTTTCTCTCCGAGAACTATTTTACCTGCTTTCTTAGCCAATCAATCCCTTTCTTTGCTAACTGCTGTGCACTAATCTAAATTCTTGATAAAAAGCTACTGTCATTTCCTCTTACTTGTGGTTTTGCCCTTAAAACTAGATTGAAATCTCTAAGACCCTGGAGGGCATAGTCAGGTCTGTTTAAGCCTGAGTTTTCCTGAGTTGCATCTACCTACATAAATTTTGTTTCAACTTGTGCCTCAGTTCTAAATCTACTAAATAAATTGAATTAGTAGGCAAAATATTCTAAAAGAAAAATTCTATATCCAGGTGACTTCCCTGATGAAATTTATCAGAATTAAAAAAAAAAAAAAACTTCTCCAGATAAAGGAAGAGGAGGGCATCTTCCTTCCTTCCTTCCTTCCTTTGTTCCTTTCTTTCTTTCTCTTTCTTTCTTTTTGGTACCAGGGATTGAACTCAGGACTTTGCACTTGAGAAGCAGGCTCGGTGCCACTGAGCTAAATTCCCAGCCTGAGGGGATAATTCTTAATTCATTTTTTCTTAAGGCAAAATTACAAGACCATATTCAAAAGATGAAAGAAGAAAAGAAAATCAACATTTTTCATGAAAGTTTGAGCAAAGTGAATCTAACTGTTTATAAAAAGGATGATATATCTTGTCCAAGTAGGGTTTATTGCAGGAATTCAAGATAGATTTAACATTTAAAAAATCAATCAATGTAACTCACCAAATTTAGACTAAAAAAATCATATGATCATTTCAGCATATTTAAAGAAAGAATTTGACAAAACTCAGTATCTACTCACCATGAAAACTGCCAGCGAGTATAAAAGGAAACCTCCTCAATTAGGTAAAGGGCATCTACTAAAAACCTACAGTTGACATTATACTGAATGGTAGAAGATTGAATGTTTTTCTCCTAAAATTAAGAATAATTTAATGATGTCTGTTCTATTCAACACTGCAAAGTAAATCTTGAGTGGTACTAGGTGGAAGATGGCAAGAAAAAGAAAGCATGCACATTGGATATCAAAAGATAAAACTTCATTTATTCATGTGACTCTGTCATCAATGGAGAAAATCTAAAAAAAGAAAAAAAAAGATAAAAACAAGCCTAGAACTAATAAATGAGATACAAAGTCAAACTATAAAAATTAAATACATTTCTCTTGGCTAGCAGTCAATATCAATTGTTTACCAATTTCTCGAAAGAAAGGAAGATGAAGGAATACTTCGGGATTCATTTTCTGCAGCGAAAACTACTATAACTAAGGGGTTTGTGTTAAACCCCTCTCCCCCTAAAAGAAGACAAGAAAACTACAGACCAATACTTTTAGAGATTTTTACATCTATGTCCACAAGAAAAATGAATATTTAGAAATTAAAATTTAAAGCAGCATAACATAATGCAACATTTTTTGAGTCTGAGCAGGAGGATCAAAAGTTCAGACCCAGTCTGGGCAACTTAGTGAGATCTTGATTAAAAAAAAAAAAGTTTTTAAAGGGCTAGAACAAAGTATGTTGGAGGAAAGAGGAAAGATAGCTGCTTTAATAAATGCTACTGTGAAAACTGACTAAACACGTGCAGAAGATTTAAGTTAGACTCATCTTTCACTATGTATACAACTAAAACCTAAATGGTTCAACTATCTAAATATTAAAACAGAAACACTTTAACCTGCTGGGCAATAAAATAGTTAAAACTCTTGAAGTTATATCATACCCAAGGACTTTCTGAGCAGAACTCCATGCACAAGAAAGAGAATCAAGAACAAACAAATAGGTTTTACTACATTTAAAAGCTTCTGAACAGCAAAGGAAACAAACAACACAGTGAAGAGATAACCTACAGAATGGGAAAAATGTTGCCAGCTATACTTCAGATGGAGGACTAATATCTAAAATATATAAAGAATTAAAAGAATAGATCTCCAAATTAAAAAAGCCAATCAAAAAATGGGCAATTGAAATTAATAGAAACTTCTCTGAAGAAATACAAATGATCAATAAATACATGAAAAGATGTTCAACATCACTGGCTATTAGAGAAATGCAAATTAAAACAACACTGAGATTCCATCTTATTTCAGAAAGAATAACAGTCATCAAGGAATCAAACAATAATAAATGCTGCTACAGTTGTGGGGGAAAAATAAACTGAATCCTTTCATATTGCTGGTGGGAACATGAACTGGTAAAAAACCACTACGGAAAATGCTCAAAAAACTAGAAACAGAAATTCCACTTGACCCAGATATTTCTCTACTAGGTATTTTCAAAGAGAGTAAGTAGCCCAGCTCACATAGTTTGTTGAATATTTTATATTTTTACACTATTTTAAATTTTAATTTGTAATTATTGTTTTTTCATGTAATAGAAGTAAAAATATCTAAAAATATTTAAAAAATATTAGCCTATAGTTTTCTTGTCTTTTTTTTTCTTTTTTGGTGGGAGAGGTTGTGTTCTTATACTAATTTTGGCTGCAGAAAATAATGAACCTAGAAGTATTCCCTTATCATCATTTGTTTAGAGAGATTGGCATAAAATTGGTATTCATTGCTAGCAGAAGACATATCACAGTAATACATGACCACCTATATTTATAGCAGCACAATTCATAACAGCTAAATCTTGGAAGTTGTCTATGGGTCCATCAACAGTGGAATGGATAAAGAAAAAGAAGTTAATTATACACAACGGAGTACTATACTCTGTTATAAAGAAGGATACATTTGAGACATTCTAGAACAATGGATGTGCCTTGAAGTGATAAGATTAAGTGAAATAAATCAGACACACAGCTTAAATATCACATGGTTTTTCTTTTCTATAAGAAATCTGAAGTATAAGTAAA